AGATTATCTTTGAATAACCGACTAAATATCGATTTAATCAATACAAAAAAAAAATTGAATATAAGCAAATTAAATGAGTGTTAGCTTATCTTTGAATAATTCGATTGACACAGCGATCAGATCAACATAACAAAATTGAATAAGAAATGAAATGAATAATTTATTTTAAATTTTTTGCATTGGTTAAAATAAATAACGAATACTTGAATAATACATGCAAGATATGCTCTGAGTTTATTTTTCACATGCATGTGCCAATCAAGTTGTGGGCACTAACATCATATCCATGAGGAGCTTTTTCGTTCTCATCTTTGATGATCAGTAATTATCATTTCATCAACCTAGTAAAAAATCCTACAAAGAAAAATGAACAATGCTAAAGACCCTGTGAATAGATATGCCATAAATTCATATTTTACTATCATTTGTTATAACATTTGAAGTTGCAATTATGCGTATAGCATCGTTCTTAAAACTTAGTTGTGAAACAGATCACGAGAAAAGCGAAATATATACTCATGTGCGGATCAATTCGTGCGCAGAAGTTCATGTATACAGAAGAAAGTACTACATATGCTCTGTGAAGGTGCTACATGTAAAGTTCCTGATATGCATTCACATTCCTGTTTGGCCACATAGATCATTTATTTTCACATGTTAACACGTTGGCACGCCGGTCTATATTTTTATGCTGACAGAAGTGAAAAAAAATATTCGCGAAAGTTCGACACTATGCCAATGCAATTGGATAATCTGGAACATACGTACGACTCCTTTCTTAAAATATAACTTTTTTCTGGCAACTGAGCAAGGAAGAGAATGACAAATGGATGTACTGAGAATTAACAGTTCAATATGGACTCATGTGTTAAGAATGCATGCTCATTAGAAAGACTGCTATTCCGATTCCCACGATTGCATTATAAATAGGACATCATTAAAGTACGTGGTCATTCCAAATATAACTACACGCTTTACAATGAAGTATCCTATTATCGCTCACAGTCTTAGTATCCTTGCAATATGTTTCCTACTAACCAGCATAGCTGAGGGTAAGCTCTCAAAAAACGTATTGCGAACGTTTGATCTTTTTTTTTCATAATCTGATTTTACTTGGATTTGTGTAAAAAGCAAAATATCTCGTGCATATATTTGCCACCAATGACTCCTATTGGAACCCAGTTAATACCTGTAAAGCATACGTGACAAATTGTGACGGTCATGGCACTAAGATATGTGATGGCAAGGAAGCAATCTGCGCCGGTGGCACACTATTGGATTGTGAGGTAGATGACGGCCAGTGGGCTTGTGCTCATATAAAAAGAACCGACGCTGCTGATGGTTACATCGCAACCAACCAAGCTTCATGTTTTGCATACACAGGTTATGAAAATAACAGTTGGAATTTTACTCAAGTCCCTTGTTAACTCAAAATCAGACTTTTTTGCTAGTTGCCAACAGTAACAAATTGTCACTTCATTTGTACGTTTAGTGAAGAAGATCCCTTTCGATCTTATTTAGTATTTTTTTTTATCTTTTTGAGCCTTATTTTTAGTAATGAAAAAATATTTTGTATTATTTTTTTAACCTTAATCCTATCAAGTAGCAATTCTTAATAAGAGTTTGCTATTTATCGCCACTGGTAATCATCACTGGTGTATAATAT